TATAATAAAAAAATTAAATGTGACTATTTTTTAGAGTTTTTTTTATATAATAAATTCAAATTCTAAATTTAAATCTATAAAATGAACGAAACCTTATTTAACCTTCTTCATATAGTTTCACATGTACTACGTACTTATTCCTCGTGCATTGTTCTTATATATAAACGTACGTAATTACATAATTATATTATTCTTGCAAAATAAAAAAAATAAAAAAATAAAGGTTACATTTATTCCTTCTAAGCCCATAAACAATCTATTATTCCTTCTATAATTTAGAGGTTGTTTGGTTGGAAGATTCGTTTTCTGATTTAAATTATGATTCGTAGTTCGTTATAATATTTTCTCTCATAAAAAATACACATAACTCAAAAATAATTCTAATCACATGATTTTAATCCATGAACTAAACGTCTCCTTTCTTACTTTTGCTTCTTAAATTTTTGGATTTGGAGAAAAACCAACAAAATAGGCCTTGGGAAAGGTTCTAGCTAGCTAGACTATAATCTGCAGTAAAACTAGCAGCTACATATACAGCCACATGGAGGAGTTAAAGCATGTGGAAATTAAAAAAAAAAAAGACTAATTAACAGAATATATATATATATATATGACACTAGTCTTGGATTAATCATTATTTATCCCTCGGCGTCATTATCCATTTTATATCTTAAAATTAATATGCTAAATTAATATATATATATTGCGCTGGTAAATTACTAGCTTTCAACCCAACTCTAACGAAAAATGGGGAAAGAAAAAACGCGGGGGATTAATATGGATTTTAGAAGAAAATTGCACCATGTTATATTTTTTTTAGCCCAATTTAGCATCCCTAAATATTTGTATGATCAAGCTTAACTGGTAATTATAAGCTAAAGTTGGTCATCTTTTTTCTCCAAAAAAAAAAAAAAAAAGAGCTCCACGATCACTCTTTTAGGATGGGCCTTTCTATTACCGCTGCCTTCAAATTAAATATTTTCTATTTGATTCGAGGTTTAACTACCATGAATTTTTTTTAATAATCCAAACAAATGGGAAAAAAAAGAGAAAAAACTTGTTTTTTTTTTTTCCGTATTTGACATTAACAGTGGCGATAAATGGTGATGACAATGGTAACAAACTACACTTTGTTTCCTCTTGCTAAATCAAGTAGGACAGATAGACGTATTGTAAATGGACCTAAAGGAATTATTTGTTTACTAATTTCTGCCGAGGAGCTAGTTCCTAGGACTATAGAAACTGCAAACTAGTGCTGCTATATATCGGTAGAGATGTCAATCGTGCCATGTCGGTCCAATCTATGATCGACTAGGAACATATGTGTTTCGTGTCGTGCTTGGTCTGACACATTAAAATTTCGTGCTGTGCTCGTACCAACCCAAGATTTAAAATTATAAGCCCGGTCCGACCCATGGGCCCAAGGCCACACGTGCTCATGCCCGTGCCATGCTTGTCCTCATACTCGTGCCTTTATCGTGCTTGGCACAATAAATATTTAGGCTAGTCCATTGAACCATTGAGTCACCTAAAATTATTTTTTAATAGTTTTAAATAAAAAAATAATTCAAATAAAAATATTATTTTATTGATATATCAAGGGTATATTTTATCAAGATATAATATTATTAACGAATTATAATTTTTTTTATTGTTGGCATTGTTAAAATGATGAAAATTAATGCAAATCATTTGATTTTTTTTTAAGTCAAATGAATTAATTTTAATTTATTTATGGAGATATATAATGTTTTTAATTATTTATAAATATGTAAATTGTAACAATAATGTAAAATAATTTTTTAAAAAAAGAAAAATTATATTCATCGTGTCGGCCCATTGTGCTCAATGGACCGTACCGTGTTCGTGTTGTGCTCGTTCGTGCTTGTCGTCGTGTTAGACCTACATGCTTAAAACTATGAGCCCAGCACGGCCCACCACCTCGTGTCATGCTTAGCACGGCCCATAAAAATTTCATGTCGTGTCATGTCCGTTCTAAAATTTTTCGTGCCGTGCCATTGTAAAAAAATAAACATTTCAATCAACAGCAATCAAATTACTATATATTTGACATCATATATAAGAAATTGGCTTAGCTTCCTTTTCTTGTTTTTTGCTGAGAAGACATTGCTTAGCTTTGCTTTTTTTTTTTGCCATGAAGAAATTTGCTTATGGCTGGTGGGGGGGATTTTCTAAACAATGACGAGCTCCGACTAAAATAAGAGTTTCTAATCCACTTAAACGGGGAACTCGAGCACCACCTAAAAGAGCAGAGATGACAATGAGATAGAGTCGAGAAATACTTTTCCGTCCCCATCCGCGCCAATGAGAGCAAGGATAGAGTCAACGAATCCCAATCACAAAGGTGCCTACTCGCTCCAATTGCACCGTGATTGTTCATTCAAATTACAATAATTTAAAAAATTGTTGAAATTTTCAACAACAAAAGACAATAGAACATATGTAAAAGTCAATATTAGATTAGGATTAGGGCAAATACTAAGAGGACGTTTGGTTTATATATTCAGAATTATTTTCGTTTTACGTGTATTTTTTGTTAGAGAAAACACTGTAGAGAATCATGAATCATGATTCAGAATCAATGACGAATATAAGAAACAAACGTCTCCTATATATGTTAAAAAAAATAAATAACATGTATAATTTTATTTTTTTTAAAAATATGTATATCAAGATGGGACAAGATGACAAGTGTTTTCTCATTCCGCCCCAACCCTCACTCGGGTAAAAAAGTTGGTTCATATCCCCTCCACAAACTTCATTGACAAGCCCTTGTGCATGTCCTATTAGAGGCAGATCTACACTGTGGACCTCCAATGAGGAAAAAATGTCATACTTATTAAAAAGGACCATAACTCCGTTCAAAATGGGAATTGACAATCACTTAAGTGTGTCTATCTTTTTCCATGTGATTGATATCGTGGATTAATTAAGTGATTAATAATTTTTAAAGAGTTAAATATCCCCAAATCGCTCCTCTATTGATAGAGGGTGTATTCAACTAATTCCTAAAAAGGAAACAAATATGCCCATTGTTATCAAAGATAAACTCACTCGTTAATTAGATCATTTTCAATGCAAATACTAATATGTCAATTGTATATTTAACATCAAAAAGTATAATATGGTATGTTATTTTCATTTTTGTTCTAATATATAATGTTATTTGAAATGTTAAATCTATTTTTTTTTATAATTATTAAGTTTTGAAAGTTATAAAAGTAAACTTTTATGTTTAAAATAATTAGAAAATGTAAAAGTTACAATGATTATATGAAAAAATAAACATTTCAACCAATAGCAATTAAATGTAAAATTTCTCATATGCTATATTTAGAGAAAAATTTACTATAAAATATAATATATAAGAAATTTAGTACAATAAATAACATTATATTAGATATGCTCTTACCGACCATCTCTGATAGTGTATAAATTTTGAAAAGTCAACAGGCACACTTCATTCAAGATCAAAACTCTGTCAAGTTATCTCTAAGTAGTTATCGAGAACAATCGATGAAAATTGTCTTAAATTTTAACCATGAGTTTGAGAATAATATGTAGCAAGTATGTGAGAAACTTACATTAATGCACATATATGATATATTTTCAAGAAAATTAGGTGGCTATGTTATAATTTTTATACGTATTCAAAAGTCATAATTTCTTTGTGAATCAGATTTACATCATGTGGCATTTGATTAGTTCTTCGTGTCTCATACAAAGCGTAAATTCATTTTTTTTTTTTTTGGCGTTCTCAAGAATTTCTCTATATTCCTGATCTAGTAAAACAAGCCAAAACTAATGTCTTACGTGGTAATACTTTTGTTTTTTTTTTAAATAATTTTTTTAGAAAAAAAAAATGCATGGTAATATTTTGCTTGGTATAATGCCAAGTAAATTTGGGTTTGTTTTCAAAGGAAAATCAGTCTGCTTTCCAATAAACCGGTAAATCAAACAAAATAGCAGGGTTTACACACTCAGGTGTTTCACCCAACCAAGAAAAAAAAAAAATATATATATATATATACATGAATAAAACGAAGTAAAGCCAAAATAAATTATCTATAGCTTAAAATCACTAGTTAAATGAAATGAGTCATCCAAGTAGTTGTATTATACTAGTAGTTGTATTATTAAGTGCCTGTTTAGTTCACTGTTTTGAATTTTTAATTTAAGTTGAGATGTGACTTTATATGATAATTTTTTATTATAGTAAAAAAATTAGATGTGACTGTTTTTAAAAGTTTTTTATTGTAGCAAAACTGAAATTCTAAACTCAAATCGGTGAAATGAACATGACTTAAATTGGTGTACATAATTGTATGTACAATGTTCTCCCATTTACTAGAAGTTGGAGAATAAATGTATCTTTTTTTTTTTTGAGGAAAATAAATGTATCTTTTGGTTATAAAAAGAAAAAAAAAACAGATGATTAACAAATAATTCCAAGTTTAGTATTAAGTGTATAAGAAACAAAAAGCCCACCAACTCATTTGAATTTGTGAGCTAATCCAAAGTTTGGAGGTATTAACAAATGGGGCCCAACTTAGAAAATTTGATCATCATAGATAGAGAGAGAAGTAGTTTTCGAATACCTGTTTTCATGTGGCTGATAAATATAGGAGAGGCTAAACCATACAAAGAACCTGACATGGTCTATGATGCTAACTTCATCCTTTACGGTTCAGACAGAAGTGAGAGTCAAACTTCTCTGAGTACTCACAATTTAATATTGCGTTTGTTTGATTGCAGCGATTTCGGTGAAAATGACATGAAAATCACTTCCCCCACAGCCCAGAGATGGATAAAAAAGAGAGAGAGAGAGAAAACTATGTAAGAGAGAGAAAGGGCTTTGAGTGGTCAGATTCCATTTCAATCTTAAGGGCTTTTTATAATATATATATACATACATACTACAAAAATACAAAACCATATAATACATACCATAATCCACTATTATAATAGAAAAACCAGACCCCCCTTTTAGGCTTATTCTTAATCTCTATATATAATCTTCCACTTGGTGTAACTTCCTCTTATCAACCAAAAGTACTTCCAACAATCAACATTCCCGAGAAATAGTGAGAAAAAGAGAGAGAGAGACAGAGAAATGGAGCTCAATGAACATGATTTCTTAGAAGAGCTCTTATCTCTTAGAAGAGACATGACTTGGGAAGCCTCTAACAATATTCCAACAGGAATCATGAACTATGAGATCTTCTCTAGTTTTGATAACTACCACCATTTTGATCAAAACCCAGAAACACAAAACACCAGCAATGTTGTTCTTCCAAATTCCTCTTGCAGCCAAGAAATAATCTCTCCAACATCACTTGATCATCATCAACATGACAGCTTCAACAGCTACTCGTCATTGATGAATGATATCTATTGCCCCTCTTTAAGCAGCGATTTCTCAGCCGTTGAACCGGTACAGTTCAGTACTGATCAATTCTATTCAAGTACACCAACATTTCCCATCCAAGATCAAGACTATATTCCATTGTGCACAAAAAGTATGGAAGAAGAAGAGCTGGGTATTCTTGGGGATGAGATTCACAACTTGGAGACTCAAGTTTCTTGCAAAATGGAGCCAATTCAATCATCAATTTCATCGCCTGAAATGTTAGTGCCTGCAGTCTTCAATATGGGACATCATGTTGTGCCTAATTTGGAAAGAAACGCCAAGGCTAACAATAAGTCCAAGTTACAGGGTCAACCTTCAAAGAATCTGATGGCTGAGAGGAGGAGGAGAAAGCGATTAAACGATCGCCTTTCGATGTTAAGATCGATTGTTCCAAAGATAAGCAAGGTATTAAAAATCCCTGATTAGTACTTAATTTGCTGTGTAGTGAAAAGGAAAATAAATAAATAATGTTTCATGTTCAAGGTTAATTTACTAATTAATTAATTAAGGCCTTGTTTGGCTGGTGGTTTAACAGATGGACAGGACATCCATACTTGGGGACACCATAGACTACATGAAGGAACTTTTGGAGAGAATCAACAGTTTGCAACAAGAAATGGAGGAGAGTTCGACCGAGTTGAGTGAGATTGGCCTTTTCAAGGACGTCAAGCCAAACGAGGTCTTAGTGAGAAACTCACCAAAGGTAATTAATTATGTGTTTTAGTATTAATGCACTAATATTACTTTCAATGAGACCCTCTAAATAATTAAGTACTGATTCTTACATAATATTTCATTTAATTTTGTGCACAAATTATAATCTGCAGTTTGATGTGGAAAGAAGGAATAGAGACACTAGGATTGAGATTTGCTGTGCTGGGAAACCAGGGATGTTGTTCTCTACGGTGACTACTTTAGAAGCATTGGGACTTGAGATCCAACAATGTGTTATAAGCTGTTTCAATGACTTTGCAATGCAAGCTTCTTGCTCAGAGGTACAATATTATACATATATACTTATAATTGCTGACTTGTATTATAACAAGTACTTTTGTTTGTTGCCTTTATTAAAGTGTTCCTTTTTTTTTTTCCTTTAATTAATCATGACAACTTTTTGTCTCTCTTTCCTAAACTTTATAGACGTCTTTTTGTTTTAGCTGATGGTGAAAGTAAATTAATGAGGTTAATTAACTTTTGTTCATTGTTTTTTCATGAAAACAGGATTTGGAAAAGAGGACTTTAGCCAGTTCTGAGGACGTAAAGCAAGCATTATTCAAAAATGCAGGGTATGGAGGGAGATGTTTGTGAGAGTAGAAATTGAGAAAGGAAAAAAAAGAAGAATAATAATTATAATAATAAGAACTTGTGGTAGTTTTTTTTTTTTCTTTTTCTAGAGATGTGGGTCTTTTTCCTTTTTTTTTTTTTTTTTTTTTGTTCTCAAAGTTGTAGTCTCATATTTCTTCACTAAATAAGCGATTGTTTATTTTCATCAAGAGCTATGTATAACACCAATTTGCTTGAGTTAAGGATTTTTTTATTGTAAAAAATGGAAAAGAAAAGGGTGGGATTTGTAGTTCTACAAACCCCAGAGAAGAATGAATGTCTTCAAATTCAGTTGCCTTTTACACATAATAAATATGTTTTGGAATTCTTTTGAGTCACAAGAGTAGTTAATTAACAACCAAAGCTATTGTGGTATGAGACAATAAAATATACCATAAAAAAAATACCAAAAAAAAATTTTTTTTTTTTTTTTTTTTTTTTTTGCGGATGGAAATTAGAGGGTAGATGCTGTTTCCCTGAAGCTTCCATAAATATTTATTCCATAAAAAAATCAAATTGAAAAGTGATTATATGCACAAACGGACAATGCACTCACCCTTAAATTTAAGGAATAAGTGGATAATCTGAGTATAGTTTTCTCCCTTTTTACCTTCCTTTTCCGTCTTATAATTCCTTTTTACTTTTATATTTATCTTTACTTCTATTTCAGACAGCAAATAGGAAAAGCCAAGTTTATGGTTTCCCATCAATCTGCAGTTTAAAGCTAAAAATACTGATGTTAATTTCTCTCAAGTGTAAGAACTGGTTCAAGAAAAAATTACAAAAATAATTGTGGAAATCATTGTCACTACGTTGCACTTTTTGGGCGCAGTTTTTCAAGGATTGTCACTAATTGAGATAAAACAATATTAGAAGTTCCTTTTGTTTTTTTCTTCTTTTTTCTTTCGGCATTGATCTTTTAGTACTTACAGTATATCAAAAGACATACGACAAGTTTTGGATTAGACATATAAAATATGAAACTTCAAAATCAGCAAAATGTGTCAATTCATATAACCAGAGGTTGTAAACAGAGTTCCACAGAAGTGAAATTTAGGATTTCTTTTATTTTTTAAAAAGGTGAGAGGTTTAAAAAAAATGAGGTAAGAGGTTTCGAATTCAAAATTTATGGATATAGAATTATTGCTAAATAAAATACGCAAACACAATTTTCTATCTTTTTTTGTATTGACACAAATGGTTCCCAACTTATTTAGTAAGTGACAATTTAGTCCATAACTTTTTTTTTTGGCAAATCGACATCTAACTTTTTAAAACATGTGCAATCTGATCTTTTCCGTCAAGATCTGTCCAAAAGCTAACAGCTTAATACACATGACCACTCAAGTATGACACCCCTTATACCATCTCTTTCCAAGCATTACTTAGGCTGTGTTCGTTTCATGGGTTTGGTTCGAATCAACCCAATTTGAATCAGCCCAATGACCCAAATCAGTGTTCGATTGTCCACAGTTGAAACCCTAACTCGAATTGTAATTCTAGTTGAGCTGCCATATGGGAATTCAATGCAGGCGTGAATTCCATTAATTCGAAACTGCCTCTACAGTAATTCCTCTCTGCCCAACTCAGGCAAAAGCCTATGGGATTTCCTCGCGTCTTACCGTTTCTCTCTTCTTTTCACCGAAAGCTCTCCTCTCTGTCATTTCCCATCATCCACAGCGTTGGAAAATTGCAGAAAGCTCTATCTTCTAGCTTGGTGAAGTTCCACTCCCATTATTCGAGCCTACCTCTCATCTGCTCTGCACAACTCATCAGGCAAAAGCCTGTGGGATTCTCTCACGCCTTACCATTGTTTTGTTTTTTCTCTCCTATCTCTGTCGTTTTCCCTCATCCACAGTGATGGAAAATTACAGATAAAGCTCTCTTTCTACCGTGGTGAAGTTCCACCCTCATATCCGTTTATGCATGTGGGTAGAACCTTTTCCGCTGCCTTCTTCGCTTCCCCCAAAACGGAAGAACTACATGGAAAAATCCACGATCGGCGTCCTCCGTTGGCGGTTGTTTTGAGCAGATGTGTCCATAACTAGCGACCTCAAACCCTAAATCGCCGTCATCGGTGGATAATTTCACGGTACTGCTGTCGGCGACAGAGGAGTTGCAATATTCCATCCTCATCACGATTGGGGTTCTTGTTGGAGGCACACACATATTCATCCACTGGGTCTAATTCGGTAAATTTTCTCTGCTTTCCCTTTCATCATTTCTGTTGCCTCCATGAATTTGTTATGTGTTGGGCTCTGCAATGTGAAAAAAAAATTGTCGAATTGAACTTTAATTTGGAGGATTTACATTAATGTTTGACAACAATGTGAACAAACCTTGCGATGTAACCATAGAGGTTGTTTTCAACCATACTCTGCTCCTCTCTGCATGTAGATAGCACCCCACTGCGAATAATGAACTCCTGCCTTCTTGTTATTATACGCAGTTATCTCACTAGCATAAACCTGCCTTAACTACACTTTGGATTAACAAGATTTGAATTTCATGGATTAACAGGATTTAAATTTCATGGATTAACAGGACAAAATTTTGTATGTTTAGCAAATTTAGGCAAACTGATGCTATGGCCACCATTGCAAAGACTTGCAATATGTAATAATATAGGCTTTGGAATCTGTAAACGAAACTAAATTTAAGGATATAGGCTTTTGTTCTACACTCATGTTAGGCTTATCAGATTTTGGCTGCACACAGCTGGGTTGCAACAGATAATTGTGGAGTCTATAAACAAAAAATACAAACACCCATTGATCGGCCATTTTATGTGCACTATGGGTTTATAGATGTTGGATTTGAGCTTAAATATAGGTTACACCTGCCTGGCCACTCCTACTAATAATGGCATATTAATATATTAACCTTAGGTCTACAATGCTTTGCTCAGCTGTTCTTGTTTTGGAACTAAGTGTACAATACTTTTTCATTTATCGTAGTTAGCTCTCAGTTGAAATTGTCATATCATAATTCCGATGCACTCTTTGTCTCCCGTTTATATAAATATACTACACCTAATCCTTGGATGAGAAGATCATACGTTCTTGTTCATCTTGGCCGTATTATTGGCAATGATGGATCGTTTTTTCTATGCATATCAGTTTCGCTGTAGCACTATCCTTTTGGTATTTAGGCATTTATCAGTTGCTGCTTCATTTATGCGGGTTATGATGGATTGCACCATACCATAAGATTAGTGCTCCGAAACTGTGAAAAGCAATGTGATCCCTAACCTGTTAAAATAAGGCCTGGTAGTATAACTGTCATGCCATAAGGGTAGTGCTCCGAAACTTAGATGATGCTTTAACACGTGTCGTACTAATCTAGTTTTACTTCGCATAACTGTGTTGCTGCACTCGATGGAGCACACGTTCCTTGCGTTCCGCCGCCTGAGAATGCAGAGGTATGGAGAAATAGGAATGGATTTATGTCTCAAAATGTTTTGGGTGTGTGTTCATTTGACATGAAGTTTACATACATGCTTGCTGGGTGGGAGGGCTCTGCACATGACGCCTGCGTACTTGAATCTGCCCTTGATGGGCCACACAAAAAATGTCCAACTCCTCCTGAAGGTAAACATCGGTTCTACATTGTTAAGTGGTAAAAGATCATATGTTTGTGGTTGGTGCCTTTGTAGAAGTTGGAATTTAATTGTCTTTTTGGATGATTCTATAGGAAAATTTTATTTAGAAGACTTGGGCTACGCAAACAGAAGTTATTTCCTAGCACCATATCGTGGTAGTACGTACCACTTGCAAGAATATAGGGCACGCCGTGGACGACCTCGGAGTGAGCGGGAGTTGTTCAACTACACTCACTCATCGCTCCGGAATTGTATCGAGCGCACATTTGGGGTATGGAAAGCAAGGTTCTGCATTCTCAAGATCATTAACAACTACCTAATGAGGAAACAGGTAAAAATACCTATTGCTTGTGCGGTCATACATAACTTCATACGCATGTATCGGCATGATGATAGATTTATGACCCAATACTTTCAAGATGGGGTTCCGGTAAGTGAAATTGACCCTCAAAATGCGGAACAAGATGTAAATCAAAATCACAACCCAGATCGGGCAACATAAAGAGCAACCAACATAACGTCTCCTAGGCAGATGAGCCTCTTAAGGGATGAAATGGCAAGGTCAATGTGGCAATCCCAACGAGGGAACAACAATCCATAGTAAGCAAGTGTTTGACAATGTATAAATCGAGTCATTTGAGGCAATGTCTATTTTCTCTTTTTTTCCTATATTCGGTTTTTTTTTTTGGATGTGACAGGTAATTTACTCCATTAATTAGTTACATGTAGTTCTCATTTGAATATGACATGTTAAAAAAATTAGAAACGTGAAATGCTCTTCAATTTGAATAACGGAAGTTATTTTTTTTCCCTCATTTTATCATATAAAATGAAAGATAATTGAGATTGACATTTTCAAAAAATTAGTAACATGGAATGTTCTTCATTAATTATTTTTTTCTCTTGATTTTATCATATAGATGGATGGAAATTGATATGGTAGTTGGAATAATGAATCTATGAAATGAACACATCACAACTCAATTTGTGGGTCAAAGTTGAATGTGAAATGAACACATCACAGCTCGAATTGTGGGTCAAACTTGTAGCTCCAATGCACTCCTAAACACTAACTCCAATTCCAATTACAATTCCAATCTAGATTCTAACTCCAATCATAACTTTAACTCAAATTGTAAAATTTCGATTGATGAAATGAACACACCCTAAATCTTCATATTAGTCCCAGCGTATTTATACTTTTGATTTTGTTTAGATGATTTATGAGGAGATATATATTTTCTTACATCTTATTTATTTTATAGGTTCAAATTAGTGTTTAAGCTTTTTTTGTTATAATATTTTCTCTCAAACGGACAATAAATTAGTCACTTCTAATAGGGTGTGTTTGTTTCATGGGTTTGGTTCGAATCAGCCCAATTTGAGTCAGCCCAATAACTCAAATCAGTGTTCATTACAGCAACTACCCAACTCTAACTCGAATTG